CTAAACCTCTACATCAAGAATTTATACCCAAAAAGGAAGAAAATAAATGTGCCGTCTTTCAGGTGTAAGCTCGCCTATATGGAATTTTTTATGGTTTTTAACATCTGGCCTGATGAAGAAGCCTGTAGAGCTTAGAAAAAGCTTGCAACATTTATACTGTGCATTTTTGTTGGTCCAATAAAGGCATCACCGGTGGATTTTGGATATTATTGATTTCCCCATCTCTGTAATTGCATTGGACTTTAGAAAAGATTTGTTTTAATGAGACAGTTTTTTTGCCCAGTTAATTGCTTTATCCAAAGTTAGCCTTCAAAATGTTTTGGGGTATCACACACTTTTTGTAGCACTCAAATGGCAGTATTTTGACCCTGGAAAAAAACAATAATTGACAGTTTTCCTTCTAGTTAACCCATTCATTCTAATTGTAAAGGGTGCAAAATGGATAGTGTTTAGATAGTGACTGTTCTTCAACACTACCATCCCATCCAAATTTTAAGAAGAGATATTTCCCCATCACTTGCTTCTCCTTTCTCATTAGTTTGAACCAAGTTTGAAAATCTTGCCTTGTAAGGACTACCTCTCCCAGAATCCCCCAGACAGTAACTTCTCCAAAGAAGTTGTCTGGAAGTCCCTTCAGGCTGCTCCCACACTGAGCATTTATCATCTACTCATCCACACTACTTAATGATACCGGTATGATTCCACTTTAACTGTCATGGTTCCTCCCTATGGGATCCCAATTGGCTTCTTCTTTCTGGTTGCCAAGCCAAAACACAGCTTTTTAATTAAACTGTTGGGGCTTAATTTAGTCCCCTCCTAAAATCACAGATACCTGGATTTTACTGATTTAACTTCCTCTGAAATATAGCCCACAACACCTACTACTTACTTACTTACTTACTTACTATCCATGGGCGGTCTCCCATCCAAGGACTAACCAGGGCTGACCCTGCTTAGCTTCCAAGACCAGACAGGATCTGGTGCTTCTAGGGTCTTGTCCCCCGATCTGAAGGCACACAACACACAACTAAAGCAAACCAACAACCCAGAAGTCTCTCTCTTTAAAAAAAAACAAACAAAACAAAAACCTAACCCCCATTCCCCAATTTCTGGTCTGAGCCTGGTTGGACCAGGACTCTGAGAGCAGAGTTCGAATCCTGGCTCGGCCAGGGAAACCCATTGGGTGCCCTTGGACAAAGTCACACTCTCTCAGCCTCAGAGGATGGCCATGGGTCAGAAGTTGGGAAAGACTTGAAGGCACCCAACAACCCCAAAGAAAGCAACAACTTTGCCAGGGAGAGAAGAGAACTTACCCCGGTTTCAGCTCGGGGCTCCTCCTCGCCCCATCTGCACCTGGAGAGCGAACCCGGGAGAGCCAGCGAGCCAGAGAGAGGCACTGCACTTCCCGCCTGCTCCGCTTCGAACGCGCACACACTCTCTGGCCTCTCCTTCCCTCTCCGCCCAAAGCGCCTCACTCGAACTCAGAACCTCTCCCACGCGGGGCTCAGCGCAAATCCCCCTTCCCCG